AAAATATATGTCAAAGGGATACAAAAAAAAAAGAAGTAAAAAAAAAATTTGAAGAAGATTGACTTTTTGTAAATAAATGTTTCTTTTTTATAAAAAATAATTTACATACTTAATTTTTACATTAAATTTTTGCAATATTCCATGGGGAAGGCGATAAGACAATATACGTCTTCTTCTTGCTCCGGCTATATATTAAATATGTACGATCTTTCTTATTGTAAATTTTATCAAGCGGCAAAGAAAAAAAAAAAAAGCTAGATATCATAAAATACTCGCAGACTCGTTATCTTTTTCTACATTGCGCGGTTATAAATTTAAAAAAGAGATGGGCGCTTAAGTTCCTTTTTTTATTTCGACTGCATTCAAAAAAAAAACAAAATAAAAATTTTTTTTTTATATTTTTTTTGTTATCCCAAAATAAAAAAATGGATGAAGCAAGCTTCTCTATGCTTACTGCACAATTGACAAAAGAAGAGAAAAAAATATATCAAGAGCGATGGAAGGGTTTTGATATGCCCGTACAACAAGGAGAGGTTTTAACCGATTATGACATTGAATATTATCCTGACACAAACACTGGTGTGACCAAAAAAATTGAATTTATAATTCAACCAGGAGAAAACTTAGTTTTATCGCACCATAATGCTCAATTTTACTTTAAATCTTTACAAACCGTTTGCGAACAATGTAATCACGCTCTTCACTGCCACCGATGCTCCGTTTATGAAAAAAGTTGCTTTGAAGTCCAATTTTTGTTTAAATACTATCAAAGTATAAGAGTGTACCCGAATTTTAAATGGAATAATCAAACGACCGCGAATAACAGTTTAAATACAAACGAAAAAAATGAACAACGAGGTTACATTCAACGCTTTAAATATCCAACAACTTATCTCAATAATGTCTTCTTGCCTCAAACTGCAAACTATCGCATCAATAGCGCTGGCAGTACACCTAACCCTGGGTTAGGCGTTACCATAGCAGCAACTTTAGGACACATGCAACCGTGCCTATCATTCCCGATAGTTCGGCTGGTCCAACTAATTATCAAGCTTTAAATAATTCGCAATTTGTCATTCCGGCATGCTCGGCATCCGCTTATCAATTCAACATTCCTCTCTACTATTTGGACGATATTTTTGATTTAGAAGAATACTTTGGTAAAAATTTAAAATTGGTAATCATTTTAGATATTGAAGGAAACATTGCTCAATTATTTGAAAATATACCTCCAACTGCTACTGCTGATATAACAGCAATGAACGCAATGGCCTTCATAACCCGACCATCACAGCAAACGAAGTCAAAGTGACCGACACTTACGCATATGAAAGAAATAAATTTAACCAAGAACGAATGCATGTCAAACTGTTTTAATTTCTTTACTTTTGTCAAAACCTCGTTTTTGTCATACGCTGACAAAACAGCAAAAAAGTTATTTGAAAAAGATTATAAAATTTTTGATCACTTAAACGTCAAAAAAAGAACAGTCGGCACACTGCATCGAAAAAGACCAACACCTTTTTCAGGTGCAAATAGAGACGTTCACGAACAAGACATAAAAAAAAACAATACTTTGATTGCTTTTTTATCACTCTACAATTTGTTGCTGGTAAAGGATCCGGCGACACCGTTTTTGACAGACGACAACTTGAAAAATTTGCCTGCCATTCTACAATTAAACCTCACTCAAACGTACATAGATGAAGGTCAACAAAGATACTTTATGAACAGCTATCAAAAATTAAAAAACCTTGATCAATTTGACACAATTCTAATTGAACAAGGAAATGAATTGAGCGAATTGAAAAAAATGCTTCAAAATTATCAAATGTAAAAGTAGTTATTGTATGAAAGTAAATTTATTGTACATAGTTTGATTATTTACATATTTTTGATTATATTACATTTTTGATTATATTACATATTTTTTGTTAAAGTATTAGTTTTTATTAAAGTATTAGCAATTAGTTTTTTATAAATAGCGTCATCTTTTGAATCCCATTCAGATTCTGTTTCATTTTCAAATTCCTCTTTTTTGTTTATAATGTTATTGTTGTATATATACACTGGGCTATTGGGATCAATAAAAATAAAATAGTTTATAATACCAACTTCGTTACTATTAACGTTATCATTATTATCGTCATAATTATTGCTTTCATTTTCACTCTCGTTTTCTGTGTCAGCATCATCTCCATTATCTTCTGTGTCAGCATCATCTTCTGTGTCAACATCATCTTCTGAGTTAGCTGCATCATCTTCAACGTTATCGGGTTGTCTCTTGACATACTTTTCAAAATTACAAATTTACAAATTACAAAATTACAAATTACAAAATTACAAATACATTTCAAATAAAACTAAAAAAATCCAAAAAAAAATAACATTTTTTTGTAATTGCATTAAGAAAAAAATTTTTTAAAACAATTTATAAAAATTAAAACAATGCATCCTTCTTTAAAAGTTTATTATTAAATCAATAAAAACGTTTTATGAACAAATTAAAAATTTTTGCCAATCAAATTAAATCTTAATTTTAAATCTGTATCACTAAAGTGTCAATTTGTTTCTTAATAAAAAAGTTACACTCGGATTTTGGGCAATGCATTTTTAGATTCCCTCCATGATGTCCGCAACCAAACCTTTTATTAATAGATAAATATTCGATGTCTCTATTCATTGACGGAATCCTTTGCAAGCTGTTGATGTCAAACGAAACGCAACCAATAAGCTCTATTAAGCTTTTTTCCATAGCGCCTTTATGATAAATAACACTACCTTTTTTGGAGAGTATTTTCAGCAAGCCTTTAAAGTCTTCACATTGGCAAATACTAAATACAAAAATGTCTAAGTTATTGATATTACTTTTGACGTATTTAGCTTTTTGTTGATAAAATTCTTTCATTTGTTCTTTTGTTTTGCATACTTGCAAATGGTAATTGATACAAGTCAAATGCCAATTCACGATGCTTATTTCGCGAATGCAAAAGTTTCCCCATGCATGCTTCACTCCACATTCAATAGATTCAATATCCATTACAAAACCAAACATCTTTTTATGAACCTGTTTATTTTTTAAAAATGAATGAAAAATTTTTTTAAAAATTAAAGAAATATCATTCTTAAAAAAATATATCAAGTTTTTATTACATTTTAAAAATCTTAATTTAAAGACAAAAAAAAATCTTTTTTTTTTAACAAACAATTTTATTTAAAGAAAAATAAAATACAAAAAAAATTATAATTGCAATAATAACTTTTTTTATTTACAAAAAGTTTACTAATAAAATTGACTAAAGAAAATTAACCAAAAAAAAATTACTAATCGCTTTGCTTTTTTAGATACAACAAAAATCTGTTGTTGATCCACTTGACAATCATTAAGTGTCTGATTTTCATAACGCTCAATTTGATCGGGCGTCCAAAAATCACTTTCATCAAAATGATTTTGCATGCTCGGCAATTTTTTCCAGCATTCGAGAATCAATGCCAAATAGTGCACTCTAAGTAATTTGATAACAAGAGGAACCTTGTTGAATCTGGTCCCAAAAACATTGATTGCATTTTTAAAAATGAAAAAATCAATCAACTGATCCACGTGACAATCCCATTTCGTGTACGATTTAATTAATTTTGCAATGAAATTATAAACGGAACTAAACAAAAAATATTCATCACAAGGCATATTATAACGAAATTTATAACAAAACTCGATTCGTTCTAAAATTTCCTCCTCCGTCATCGTTTCCATATCCATTTTGTAACTCATATTCTCTACACACAACCTGATAAACCTCTCTCCATTTGTTTTCGTCTGAAAAAGGACAAATTGTTTTACCTCTCCAAGAATCGAATAGTTTCTATTTTTTTCGAAAAACTATCAAACTTTGTCCAGAATTTCTATTTCGTTTAACACCTTAATAAACACTTTTAAAAAAATTTTCTGCAATTTATCCATTGTCAAAAGTAACTCGAACATATTTTGAGGTTTAAATTTTTTTGAAAATTTTAAAAACAAGCGTTCAGGATACTTGGTCAAATGAGCAATGATGAGCTTGAAAAAACCCATTATTTACTATTAAAAATAAAAAAATTTTATACAATATAAAATCAACTTAATTAAAAATTAAAAAAACTTTTTTGCATGAAAAGTTTTTTTTCAAAAAAAAAAAATTAATTAAATAATATTTTGTTGGATTTGTATTTTTTTAAATATTTCAAAGCTAGTGTTTCTTGAAAAAAAAAATTTTTTACAAAAAAGTAAAAAAACTCAAAAAAAATTTAAACAACGATACAAATAAAAATTGTAAATAAATTTTATTATAATAATAAATATAAAACCATTTTTTACAAATTGTTAGTTTTAAAAAACATTTATTTGTATAGTCAGTTATTGATTGCGGAAAAAAATAATACACACTTTCTTCCCCTCCTCGTTTATTCTTCATTCGTTCAACATTTTTTGCAGTCAAAACTTTCGTTACGACCTATTTGTTTTATTAGTTTTATTATTTTTATTTATTTTATTTTTTGCAGTCGAAACTATCGTTACGACCTATTTGTTAAAATTTTTTAAATTTGCACTATAAACAAATTGTGCAAATAAAAACTTCCTTGCAAAAACATCATATGATAATTTTTTTTTGCTCAACTCTCAAATAAAAAACCAGTTTTTCTTTAAAAAATGAATTACTGAGAAACGCATATCTAAAGGTTACGCATATAAAAAACTTGTAATAACATTATATGATAAAGCGCTGTTAATCTCGCAAATAAAAAATTGTTTACGAAAATATAAATTTTATAAATATGTAATATGACACCAGCGGTTAAAGCTTTCTTCAAATAAGATTGTCATAACTTTATCGTCATATGATTTTTAAACCCTTCACATGATGTTATGAAACAGTTTTATTGACTTAATAACTAGAAAATCAGGTCTTATAAAAACATATATAAGGGTTTGTTTTAAATAAAGTTTAGAAAAAATTTTGTAGTTAATCTTTTTATTTTGAAAAGGTCAACTAGCAAAATAAAATAAGGACTCAGAGTCGGAGAAAGAAAAATTAGTAAAATTACAAATCAAATTGTCAAAAACAATTCAAGAAGAAGCCAGTAATCTTCATGTTAATTTTAAATGCAAACTGGAGGATTACTATGTAATTACGTAAGACAATTTATATTTTATCTCTTTTGTTAAATTAATTTTTTTTAATTATTGCCTTACGCTCATATTTTTTTTTTAGCGGTTAACGTTTGTCAGACAATGTAATTAGTAGACTCGCTGAAAACACAAGCGCCTTATTAATTATTGATAAACTTGTTACAAAACTAAAAACTAATCAAATTCAAATAAGGGCACACAAAAAAGAACATTACAATTATTAAGGATAACGTCCTGGGTAAATCGAAGAAAAAAAAGAGTAAATTACGAAAAAACCGTTGAACAGATAGAAGAAATTAAAAAGTCATTGAAAAAAAAAGAAAAAGGAAGAAATACCTTTTTGTGATAATGACGACCGCTGATTTACATCTTTAGAAAAGGAGGCGTCAGAGGACGAAGCGACGATTTGTATTGAACAAGACGAAGAAGACGATTTAATTTTGAAATAATAAAATAGTATATTTTTAAGCTTTTTTTTATTATTTTTTATCTAATATATCAAACTGTATCTGTATTTGTGTCTTTTTTTTCATCTAAATATAAATATTTACTATTTTTTTATTTTATAGATTTTTTAGCGACGAACGTTTAATATTTGAGTAAAAAAAAATTAATTTTATATTATATTTTAATTAATTGGTATACCTTTTTTACAAATTTTATAAAATGCTTGTCTCTCTTCGAGTGACAAATGTAAAATGTCATTTTGCAGAGGCGTTGATTTTATTTCTACAGCTAGCAGTGTCTCTTTTTTTTTTTTATTTGACTATATATTGAATTAGCCAACGTAACCAATACGTCCGCATTTTGAATAGCAAATTTTCCAATCAATTTCGCATTGTCCATTGTGATGAGCGAAGCCAATCCTCTTCTTTGTTTTACCTTTTTTCGAGTTTTTCGCTTTGTTTTTTTAAATTGCGTACTTCTTTTTTGTCTTTTTTTCATCTAAATGTATAAAAGAAAATAATTTTATTTTTATTTTTTCAGATAAATAAAAAAATGGATTTATTCAATAAAGTCGATTTCATAATCAGTTTGTATTGCATGACGACGGGGTCAATACAATCATTATTGGAACATGATTTACAATTACAGAAAATGTCCCCGAATAATAGTCAATTCGACGTCTAGGTTAGTCTTGTTCAGAAAAAACTTTTTAAAGAATTTTGCACTTTTATCAAGCGAACAAAAACAATCAATTATAGACACTAAAATACTAGAACATTATTTCGATGTTTTTTTCAATTTAATTTTTATTTTATTTTGACATAACATTTTTAATAATGAAATAAATTAACTTTTGTAATTACAATTTTGCATTGTCCAAACCTTTTTTTTTTTTTTTAATTATAATTACATTTTAAGAATTTTTTAAAAATGCATTCATTACGAAATTAAAGTTCTCATTAGAATATTATTAAATAATATGTTAAATTAGGTAACTTTTTATTTTATTCATCGTTTTTTTTATTTATAAATATTTTCTGTAGAGTATAATTTTTATAGATTTTTTTTTTTAAATTGTTGTATACCTTTTTTTTGTTAAAACCCATTTATGTACAGGATAACCAGCCACGCCTGATCTGATATTGCTTTTTGTTCGCTTGTACTTTTGTTTTGTCTCGCGTCTTTCAAAATACACTGTTTTGCAATCTAACTTTTTTACAATAACCTCCGGTTGTCTACCTAATGCTACCCTCTGATATGCTATTTTTTTTCCGTAACGTCCATATATGCCTAATATACGTCTTAAATCGAAAGATTTTTTTTTTTGACATTTTTTTAGTACGCGCCATTTTTTACATTTATTTTTTTTACATTTGTCCAAAAAACTTTTTTTTAATAACTTATTTCATTTTTTTTAATAAAACTAAATGTGTATATTTATTCTCTTATACAATTAAACCTTTAAGTTTTCTTCGTCAATACCCAATTGAATACTCGCTTTCCAGCTCATCCGTTCTTTATATTTTGTTTGTTTCGTTTATATATTTGTTTAGTTTCTCTTTTACACATAAACGCTGTCCGTCTTCAATTTGAAAATCTACAACATCTACAATATACTCATAAGAATGCGGAACTTCGTATTTAGTTCGGGCCATAATTATTTTAACTTAAACATTTTTTTGCCTAATATACCATTACAATTTATACTTTTTTTATTTTTTAATTTTTTTTTTTCACTTGTAGACCCAACTATATCAACTGTTTTTAGACACCTTATTTTTATATAACATATAATGTCTTTATTAAATAAAAATTTTATATGTTATTTAACCTGATTTATGACACCTGCTATGACACCTGATATGACACCTAAGATGTCAGTCCATAAATCAGCTTTACGGCAAAGAAATATATCACACCTCATTTTTTATGACATCTGTTTTGCGACACCTATTTTGACACCTATCATGACACCCGCCTGAATTACGACACTTGTTTTGACACCTGTCAGGACACCGCCTGATTTACGACACCTGTTTTGACACCTGTCATGACACCAACTGATTTATAGCACCTGTTATTACACCTGTTATTACACGCTGTTATTACACCACTTGATTTATAGCACCTGTAATGTCACCACCACACATAACCTATTTTTATTTTAATTCCCCTCATAACCAACTTTTAATTTAGTTCCTCCCCCTTCCCCCCTCAGGTTTTTAATAAGAGAATACATATATTTATATATATATATACATATATATATCTATAAATATATATATACATATATATATATATATATATATATATATATATATATATATATATATATATATATATATATATATATATACATATATATATATATATATATATATATATATATATATATATATATATATATATATATATATATATATATATATATATATATATATATATATATATACATATTACTAAAGAGATGATCGATTTTAAATAGTACAGATGATAGGAAGCAAACTCCTTCTAGCCTTTGCCTCATGAAGACCATACACCTGACTTCACCATACACCTAACCTCATATTTAACAACATTATATGAATTTTAATCCATGATAAAATATTTATTTTATTTATAGAGCTTGTCAAGGACCCTGCCTGATGCTAAATTCACTTATTCTTGGTTTAGTAAACCATATTTCAGATTATAGTTATTTATCTCAGGCTTTTAGGAGTTTTTAACAGAGTCATAACTTAAGTCTAACATTCCATTTGTAATTCAAGGGTTTCATCTTATCACTTCTTCCCAGAATAAGTCAGAGTTATTTTCATAAAATCTTTCCTCTGAATCTAATTACCGAAATCCTCTAACTTTAGTTAATTTAAACATATTACGTTATAGTTAGATATCAAAATACTCTGTCTTTTAATGCTAAGTTTCCATCGCTATAATCCTAATTTTATTTTCCTACAATTTATAGATCAGAAAATATATTCATCAACTCTTTTACTTGTTTTCCCGAACTTTCTTTAAGCCTTACTAATTTACTGAGTGCTAAATAAATAGTTTCAGTATTTAAAAACTTTAGAAAACACCCACATCTCCATTTATTCAACAATTATTCAATAAGTCATTACTATAAATATATATTTATATATATATATATATATATATATATATATATATATATATATATATATATATATATATATATATATATATAAATATATATATATATATATATATATATATATATATATATATATATATATATATATATATATATATATATGTATATATATATATATATATATATGTATATATATATATATATATATATATATATATATATATATATATATATATATATATATATATATATATATATATATATATATATATATATATATATATATATATATATATATATATATATATATATATAGTAATGACTAGTTATATACGTAACTTGTTCTGCACATACTTTAATTGAACTTGATCATACTTTTATTGAAGTAGAGACTAATTTAATATCTTTCATAATATATTAAAGATTAAAATTTAATAGTAGGTTTATGCTAAAAAGTACCATTAAAGAAGTAGTAATATAATATTGTATCTTATCATCGTGATCAAATTTAGCAAATTAATCGGTGAAGAACATATAATGTAAATAAAATTTCAGTTTGGTGTAGCGTAACGAGGAGCAAAATGAGACACTTAAGCACTAATTTATCTAATGCGGCCCGTTTAACAACTTTTAAAAAAATAACTTGATATTTTTCAAATCTTCAACAGTGGTTTGGTCACCTGAGATCATTTATTGACATCTCCTATCCTATCCCGTATAGTGGGGCAAAATTTTTTTTAGCAGTTTAAATAAAATTAAACAAAACAGCTCTTTAAGAGGAAAGAAATATATTTATAATATATTATAGCTATAATCAAACTGATACTAGTCACATAAATCACATATTGCTTGACCAGTGTTTTGAAACGAACAACAGTTCGAATGAGCCCAGGTTGTGCATTTTAAACATTGACTCCACTTTTCTCCTTTTGCAGCCTTACTGCATAAACCATTACAAACATAACATTCCCAGTCTTCAACACTTAAACTTTAAACTTTTTTTTTACTCTTTTCTAATGCACTTTTATTTTCTATTTTATGTTCTTTTAACTTTTTTACAGAGGCAGCCTTATTATAGGCTTTGGAGAACATACCTCCAAGTTGATCAGTTGTTATTTTTCTTCCAGGATGCTCTCGCAACCATGATCCACATTCTATATTATAAAAAGTTTTTAATGGTTTAAAAAAGCTTTGATCAAGTGGCTGCAACTTATGAGAAGTGTAAGGTGGTAAGGTTATAATAACTAATCCATTTTCCTTTGCAAAATCTAACAAATTAATGTTTTTTGTATGAGCTTTGTGCCTATCTAAAATTGAAAGAATTTTGTTTTCTATAGAAGCTCTAGTGTAATTAGTAAATTTTTTTATATACTCTATCAACAGATCAGTTGTAATCCATCCATTTTTAGAGCACACTCCAATTGTTTCAAAGGAAGCATAGTTGATTAGTTCTAATTTCATTCGCTTTCTCTTTAAAATTATCATTGGTGGAACAAATAGTCCAGTTACATTAATAGCACAAACAACAGTTGTTGTTACACCCCGTTCACCACTTGTTACAGAAGAAATACAATGTTTCCCTTTTTTTGTTATAACTTTAACAGGTTTATGTACAGTTGTAATGCCTGATTCATCGCAGCTAAAAATTTGATGAGCTTCAAACTTATATTTTTTAATAACGTTTTCTATTTTATTGAAATAAATGTTTACAGAACTGCGGTTTAAACCTTAAATACGATTTAAAGACAACCCCTGAGGCTTTCTTATCGAAAAATCTGGATGTCTCTGCAACACCATTATAATTATTAAATGGATGAACTATGTTATACTTTTCTACGTACTGGAAGACAATTTGTTGAATGTCACTTATCGACAATCTATAATAAACTAAATCTATTTCTTTAATGTAGCTAACTAATTGATTTTCAGTATCATCTGGCAATACTTTTTTA